GGCATCATGGCAGTTTTTGGCCAGGGCTGGGTTTGAACCTGCCACCTCCGGCATATGGGTCCGGCACCCTACTCCTTTGAGCTACAGGTGCCTCCCAAGTATTTTGTTTCTTGTGGCCTAGGAATTACTTGGTGAGTTTGTTGATAGGAGGCTAGAAGATGTTAAAAAGTTAGAGAAAGGTAGCATTTGGAGAATTTGAGAAGCTCTTTAGGCTCAAAATTGGTCAGACCAGAGGCATCCAGGAGAGGTGAGGTCAGGACAGGAAATGTGTACCTATAGAAGGGAGCAGTGATGGCCAGATGTGGTGGCTCACACCTGTAATCCTAACAGTCTGGGAGGCTAAGGCAGATTGATTGCCTGAGCTCAAGAGTTTGAGACCAGCCTGAGCGAAAGACCCTGTCTCTAACAAAAATAGAAAAATTAGCCAGGTATTGTGGTAGGCGCCTGTAGTCCTAGCTACTCAGGAGCTGAGGCAAGAAGATTGCTTGAACCTGTGAGTTTGAGGTTGCTGTGAGATATGATGATGCCACAGCCCTCAACTCCAGGGTAAGACTTTGTCTCCAAAAAGGGGGAGGGCAATGGGCGTAGTTGCTGCCCAATGCTCTAGAGTTCAGCTATCTCCCCTGCTAGGTCCTCAGTCTTTTGCACTGGCTGAGTAGTAATGCCCAGGCTTGCTTCACTGTTACTGTCTTGTCTATTTTTGCTTTAGAGGAGCAGTTTATCCTCTCTCAGGTTGCACTCCTGGAGCAAGTGGATGCCTTGGTACCCATGCTGGACAGTGCTCACATCAAAGGTAACTCTCTACGGTTGTAACTCCACTACCTTACTTGGGGAGGTGGGTGAATGGGCAAGACTTCTGTGTACTTCAGTTCTTTCTCAGGTTGGGTTTGCTCCCTGTCTTTATCTTCTTCCTGGGGGTACTTGCCACCTCTGCTGGGAGGATGGAGAGCCCAGTTTTAGGACTTTAGAATCTGGGCCTAAGGGCACTACCAGAAGCTCTAGCAGCCCCCAACTGTGAAGATCCCTGCTGCCTTCTACCCCACCAGTATCCCTCCTTAGGATGCTACAGAGCCCATATTTTACTGTCAGAGTCTCTGCCAGGTGCATGAATGTGTGTGAATTCTTTGTATTGTACTGCTAAGAGCACCAGAGCCTAGACTTTGACAAGCAGTGACTTTAATTGAATCCAGATATCCATCTTGTCTGTCTCTGAAAGTATTTCTCCCAGCTTCCCCTCCCTGCCCCTGATCAGCTACTCGCTGAGTATCTGACAGCCATAAGCTACAGGCCCAGCACAGAGGCCAAGGCTCTGGGTATTGGATACCAGGTAATCAGCTCTTCTTCAGACCACCTATAGGGTCCTCTTTCCCTAAGTCAGGCAGACTTGGCCCTGCTGGGCTGAGACCAAAGGGACAGGTCCTAAGATAGCCAATTTTTTTTTTTTTAATTTGGTCCTACTTATATCACTGGAGTGGGGGTAGGGAGCAACACCGGGAATGCCAAGGTTTTCTCTTCTCCTCAGGACCTGTATGCTCCCCTCCCCTATGGGTCCTAGAGTAACACTAGATAGGCAGGGAGCCCACCACCACCTCCAGCTACAGTGGTCGATGAAGCCTGGCATTTGTTTAGCTTTTCCACTCAATACTCTAATCCTGCTGAAGACATAATAGACTATTGAGCAGTCCCGGGGGAGGACACAAGCATCACTGGGCAGTGTGTGTTGTGTTTTACAGCTGTTCCTGAGCATGCTGCCCGCTTGCAGCGCTTGGCCCAAATCCATATCCAGCAGCAGGTATGGGAAGGGAGAGGACTAGAAGGGTGCATAGAAATGGTGAGGTATCCCATCCCCCACTCATGCCACTTGATAAGCAGCTTCCAGCCTTTCTGACTTCAGTTTAGAGGAAACTTTATGGTCTATCCCAGTGGTTCTCAATCTTCCTAATGCTGCAGCCTTTTAATACAGTTCCTGTGGGTTGTGACCCACAGGTTGAGAACTGCTGGTCTATTCTGTATCTTCATAAGCCCTAGAGAGAGGAAAGGACTCCCCTAGGGCCACATCCAGGGGCCTCCCAGAGTTGAGATATTCTGAAACACTAGAAGGCTGACGTTGGGAGGTACCCAAGAATTCTTGGGGATGGTCTGTCCTTGACTGTGGGTGGAAGAGCTCTTTTACTATTGTGTTTCCCTGAAAATAAGACACTGTCTTATATTTATTTTTTCTCAAGAAGACACACTAGGGCTTATTTTCAGGGGATGTCTTATTTTTATTAAGTATAATACAACAATCTACATTTATTCAAATACAGTTAAGTCATCTTCTTCTGGAACCTGACAGGGGGAGCCGACCTTGTTGGTGGGGCTGGGGCTAGTGATGCTTGAACTCCTTTCCCCTAGCCGTTTGCACATGCGCAATAGGATGCCTGCAACAGTGTTACCACGTGCACCTGCGCAAGTGCTAACAGCTCGGAGAAAGGAGCTGTGGCAGATAAAAGGTATTCTAGTCTTCCTTACCACTTGGCGCCAAAATGCATTGCCACACCCATCACTAGGTCTTATCATTGGGGTAGGGCTTATATTAAATGCATATTTGTTAAATATGGGCTTATTTTTTTGGTAGGTTTATTTTGGGGGAAACATGGTATTCCTGTCCCAACAGAGGAGGAGACAGGTACTAGGGGAATGTTTGCTTAATGTGTGGCCTACTCCCCTTTCCATCAATCTTTGGACTACCATTAGGGCACTTATCCTGGAGCCTAAAAGTACCCCTTTAGTGATTTGCTCCTTTGATCTTGGAGCTAAGTACCACATTTTCTAGGCTGTGTAGGGAGTAAGGGGTCCCTGATGAAGCAGGAAGTTTAATAGAAGACCAGAATCCATTCTCTGCCACACTTTGGCCCTACAGGACCAGTGTGTGGAGATCACTGAGGAGTCCAAGGCTCTCCTGGAGGAATACAACAAGACTGTATCCTTTCTGCTCAGCTAGGCCCCTAATGGGTGCTGTCATCAAGCCTTGTCCTTTTGTCACACTAGTGCTCTCTCACCCCATCCCAACCAGCCTATTTCCCCTATCCCCCACCCCTTTTAGTAGATGCAAAATCTCCCCACTTCCTCACTCTGACTCCTGTTCTCACCTTGACCTGCAACCAGACATTGCTTCTCTCCAAGCAGTTCGTGCAATGGGATGAGCTACTTTGTCAGTTAGAGGCCGCCAAGCATGTGAAGCCAACTGAGGAGTAACAGCTACTCCCCATCTCAGAGTGGACCAGGGCAGCCAGGCTCCAGGGCTGTGTGCCAACCTGCCTTTGTAACAAGGCAGAGGTGGTTTTGTATTTATTGGATTCAAGGCCCACAGTCTGTACTTAGGTAGGGCTCTGAGGTCAGAAGTCAGCTTACCTGAGATCTGCAATTTGCACTCCCTTTCCCCATCAGTGTTCTTATTCCAGTGACAATAAACTGTAGAGATTACACAGGAGTGTGCTGGCTCTCTGGTCTAGAATGGGGTTAGTGGAGAGCTGAGCTGTCTACCTGCCTAGTGCTTGGACTGGAAGCTATACTCATCTTGGGGCTCCCAAGACTAAGGTTCTCATTTGATCTATGTGAATAGGACATGCTTTTATCCGTCCATTTATCCCACATTTACCAGATACCCTCCAAATGTCAGGTGGGTGAACAAAGGTAGGGCTCACCTAACCTCTGCCCTGCAGAGAAAAAGGACAGTCCTACAGGTGGTCACCTGTTCCTTTGGGGCATGGAAGAAGGAAGGAATGAAGCTGGAGGCAGCCCTGGTGGGTGATATACAGGTACTTTCAGAGCTAAGGGAGCAGCTTGTGTAAAGGCAGAGAGGATCCTTGGAATTTTTCTCTTAGGAGTCTACCTGCTGCCGCTAGCTGAGAAGAGGAGCCCAAGAGGCTTGGCTAGAGGAAGTTTTAGGTTCTGGGGAGGGAAAGTTGGGAAGGAGGGACTCCGACTTGAGTAAGCAGGGAGAGAGATTGGCCCCGTGCTCTACCAAGTGTTTGCTGCCCCCTTGTGGTCTCAGAGTGCTCTAGCTGCAGACTCCTTTCCCATGCTTGCGGGTCATACCCACCTGTGCGATGTGATCTGCATCTCAAATTCAGCGTGTCCAAATTGGTCGGAAACCTGGGAGTCATCTTAGACTCAGAATTTCCCACTATCCAGACAGTCGCCAACCCTTCACCGAACTAGTATCTCTTAACTTAATCTCCTCTATTCCCTCTGCTATTTCTCTTGTTACTAATTCAAATAAAGATTTAACAAATATTTGAGCACCTGTTACATCTTAGGTCCCATATTAGGCTCCGTGCAGACACCCCCACCTCGCACCCAGCCTCCGCGGCCAGGAGTCACCAGAAGCTGCGGCTCAATTTCTCCCACCACTCCCTCCCCCGCTACAGCCAGGGTGAGCTGTGCAAAAGATCTGATTCTGCTAGTACCTGGAAACCCCGCTGTGGTTAGCCATGCCCACAGGACGGGGTCGAAGCTCAGCAACAGCCCCTCCAAACGGAACCTGTAGCAACCATGGTGAACCCTACCCCTCTTACACCCTTGCTCAACCGATAATGCAGCCCTCTCGTCTCAAAGGGACAGATCCACCACCCTTCAGACGCAGGAGTCCTCTCATCTTTAGGATCGGATCCCTCCGTCTCATTAAGAGTGTCCCTGGCCCAGGCGTAACCGCGGAAACTACGGATCCTGTGTTCCAGGATCCACTCTCTCCTGGCGCCTGCCCTAGGTCTCCCGGGCTGAGAGGCCGTGGGGCGCCTTTTTTCAGGCCCCGCCCCCGTGTGGCGAGCGCGGCCCCGCAGCCTGGGCGCGCTCCCGAACCGGGCGCCATCTTGGCTGTGGATAGAGTGTGAGGCCGCCGCGGTGAGAGCTGGAACCCGGCGGGAAGGGGTGGGGGGTTCTCGGAGGTGGTGGGAGAGGGAACACCTGCTGTTTGGCCGCAGAGGCCCGTAGGACCCTGGGGGCAGCTCCTGGCGATGCAGACAGCTTTCGCTGGCCAGGAGTCGTCCAAGCAGCCTTCCATGTTAAGCGTCTGCTCCCGGCTTTCTGAGTATCCTGGATTGACGTGGATGGGGGCTAGGTTCTGTTTTGGACACCATTAGTTAAAGGCTTTTGGCTGTTTCCCGGGGGTCCTGCGGCAAAGGGACTTAATCCTGTCCTCTGGGAGTATAAAGTGAGGAGGCCTCGTCCCTGTAGAGCTCCAAGTGGGGAGCACTCAGTCTGGTTCTTAATCTGGGGTGAGGGATCTGGCCCCTGTCCCAAGGGGCCCAGGGTAAGGAGGGCTCAGCCCCAGTCCTGGGGTGCTTGTGATGAGGGTACCTGTCCCTGTCCCAAAGAACTCGGTGTTTAGGGAATTTGGTCCTGTTTCAGGGATTCCAGGATTGGAGGAGGGAGGCTGTCTAGAGGAACAGGGTGCATGAGATACGACCCCTTCCCAGGATGAGACAGGCACGACTCCTTGTGAGAAGCTGAGGAGGAGGGGATATGATCCTGTTCTTGGGAAGTCTGGGTTGAGGAGCAGGGCTGTATCCTGAAGGGAGGTGGAAGGGGTGGTGAACGATGGCCTGAAGCACATTGCCCAGCACTCATCTGATACTTCTCTGCAGAGGGCAGCAAGAGTTGCAGACGAGACAACAAGCAGGATGGAGCATTACCGAAAAGCTGGCTCTGTAGAGCTCCCATCACCTTCCCCAATGCCCCAGCTACCTCCTGATACCCTTGAGATGCGGGTCCGAGATGGCAGCAAAATTCGAAACCTGCTGGGGCTGGCGCTGGGTCGGTTGGAGGGCGGCTGTGCACGGCACGTTGTGTTCTCAGGTTCTGGCAGGGCTGCAGGAAAGGCTGTCAGCTGCGCTGAGATTGTCAAGCGGCGGGTCCCAGGTCTCCACCAGCTCACCAAGCTGCGTTTCCTGCAGACTGAGGACAGCTGGGTCCCAACCTCACCTGACACAGGCCTAGACCCGCTCACAGTGCGCCGCCATGTGCCTGCAGTGTGGGTACTGCTCAGCAGGGACCCCCTGGACCCCAGTGAGTGTGGCTATCAACCCCCAGGGGCACCTCCTGGCCTGGGCTCTGTGCCAAGCTCCAGCTGTGGCCCCCGACCGCGAAGAAAGGCTAGAGACACCCGGTCCTGAAGACCTGCTGAGCCAGGCTGTTCTCCAGACCTGAATGTCTAGGATGGAGGTGCCTTTTCTGAGAAGCCCTGGACTGCTCAACATTCCCATCAAAACTCAAGTCTACAGAAGTGGGTCTCCATGTCCTGCTTCCCCTTCCTTCTGGCACGTGGAAAGGGACTGCTATGAAGAGTGACAGGTGTGGGATTTCTGCCAAATTCTGGATTGCATAAGAGGGGTTTATTCTTCCTTCTACCTACAGTGTGTCTGATCTACCTTCCAACAGAGTCTAGAGGGGGAGTTAGGAAATAAAGCTTTTGCCCATTTGATGAGCTTCTGCCTGGCCTGTGAAGTGGAAGGTGATTAAAGGAATGGGAGTGCTTGCCCTTTCCCTCTGGGAGCTGATGGGCTGGAGACAGGGAGGGTAGGCTCAGCGTGGTACTGGGAGGATGGTGTTGATAAGAACCCTCAATCAGTAGCCTGAATATATCTAGGCCCCTGGATGGCTCTTTGTACCTGTTTTGGGCTGATTTAGGGACTGGCAGGTCATACATTTCTCCCCATCTGCAATATACATACTCAAGCCTGCCTGGGTTTGAATCCTGGTCTGTCACTAGCTAGCAGGTTACTACTCTGTGCCCTAGTGATCTCATCCATAAAAAGGGGATACAATGGGGTTTACCTCAGGGTTATGAAGATTAAAGAAACATAACATATATGACACTTAGGTACCACCTGGGTGCATAGTGATATATAAATGTTCATTGCTATTATTATAACAACTCAGTTTGTAAACATGCTCTTTCCTATCTTAAAAACATACCTTTAAGGCTGGGTGTGGTGGCTCATGCTTGTAATCCTAGCACTCTGGGAGGCTGAGGTAGGTGGAGCACCTGAGCTCTGGAGTTTGAGATGAACTCTACTAAAAATAGAGTCTCTACTAAAAAATAGAAAAACTAGCTGGGCATTGTGGCACATGCCTATAGTCCCAGCTAATCAGAGGCTGAGGCAGGAGGGTTACTTGACTCCCGGAGTTTGAGGTTGCCATGAACTATGACCGCAGCACTCTACCAGGGCAACAAGGTGAGACTGAGTCTCAAAAAAAAAAAACAAAAAAACAACGGCTCAGAGCCTGTGGCTCAAGTGGCTAAGGCACCAGCCACATACACCTAAGGTAGAGGTTTCCAGTCCAGCCCGGGCCCACCAAACAACAATGACGACGGCTGCAACCAAAAAATAGCCGGGCGTTGTGGCGGGCGCCTGTGAGCTACTTGTGAGGCTGAGGCAGGAGACTCGCTTGAACCCAGGAGTTGGAGGTTGCTGTGAGCTGTGATGTCACGGCATTCTACCCAGGGGGACAGCTTGAGGCTCTGTCTCAAAAAAAAAACAAAAAAAAAAAACTCTGGGCATGGTGGCCGGTGTAATCCTAGCACTTTAGGAGGCTGAGGCAGATGCATTGCCTAAGCTCATAAGTTTGAGACCAGCTTGAGCCAGAGTGAGACCTTGTCTCTAAAAATAGCTGGGTGTTGTGGGTGCCTGTAGTCCCAACTACTTGGGAGGCTGAGGCAAAAGGGTCACTTATGCCCAAGAGTTTGAGGTTGCTGTGAGCTGTGATGCTACAGCACTCTATTAAGGGCAACAAAGTGAGATTCTATCTCAAAAAAAGAAAGGAAAAAAATATATATATATATATATATATATATATATATAAACACACACACACACCCCTCTAGCAATACACAACAGACAAAAAAAAATCTCTCTCCAGGTCCCATCCTTGCCTTTTTACCCCTTGCTCATTTTCTGCCTCACCTTGGCCTTAAACACTCAGATTCACCATGGTGAGGTTAGGGGTATGAGGAGAAAGGTGAAGGTTGCATTAACAGCCAGGGAGCTACAAGAACTAGGGCAGGATTGTAGGCAGTGGTACATTAAAGAGTTGAATCAGTTGGGTCTCCCATGGGTCTTTTTTTTTTTTTTTTTTGCAGTTTTTGCAGTTTTTGACCAGGGTGGGGTTCGAACCAGCCACCTCTGGTATATGGGGCCAGCGCTCTACTCCTTTGAGCCACAGGCGCTGCCATCTCCCATGGGTCTTGAGATTTTCTCCAGTTTTTCCAGCAGTCTGGGTATCCATTCATGAGAATGTTGGGGCTCTTCTGGGTTCACATTGTAGTGGGGTACACCCAGTAGTTTGAGGTTGCTGAGTGACACTTGACTGAGACCAGGAGGAGCTGAGATATTGAGAGAGAGTTGAGGGACTGGAAGTCTTGGTAAGGGCTTAGAAGAGGGTTGAGGTGACTATAGGGCCAGCAGATGGTGGTCAAAACTTCAAACTGCATCCTTTACTTTCCAAGGTAGTTCACTCCTGAGTGATGTGGAGGACCCTAGAAAGGGGCAGGTGATGAGGATTCAGGGGATTTTAGGAGGGGTGAAACCTCAGTGGCTGCCCAGCCAGGCTCCTCAAATGCAAAGGATCATGGAGCATCTGACACATCCCCTAGTGACTGTGATAACTGTGGTAACTCAGTTACCTTGCAAACTGACTGACTTCTCCCCCTTTCTCCTTGCAGTTCATTCAGGATTTTTTTTTTTTTTTGTGAGACAGAGTCTCACTTTGTCACCCTCTGTAGAGTGCTATGGCATCATAGCTCACAGTAACCTCAAACTCTTGGCCTCAAGCAATTCTGTTGCCTCAGCCTTCCTAGTAGCTGGGACTACAGGTACCTGCCATAATGCCCAGCTATTTTTGTTGTTACTGTTGTTTAGTAGGCTGGGCCAGATTTAAACCCACCAGCCCCAGAGCATGTGGCTAGCGCCCTAACTGCTGAGCTATGGGTGCCCTCTTTGTGTGTGTGTGTTGGGGGGGGGGGTTCTTTGTTTTGTAGAGACAGAGTTTCACTTTATGGCCCTCAGTAGAGTGCCGTGGCATCACACAGCTCACAGCAACCTCCAACTCCTGGGCCCAGGCGACTCAGCCTCAGCCTCCCGAGTAGCTGGGACCACAAGTGCCCGTCACAAGGCCTGGACATTTTTTTGTTGCAATTTGGCTGGGGCAGGGCTTAAACCCACCACGCTCAGTACATGGGGCCAGCGCCCCACCCAATGAGCCACAGTCACCACCCTGTTTGTTTTTTATTTGTTTGTTTGTTTGTTTTAGCAGGCCCTGGTTGGGTTTGAACCTGCAACCTCTGGTGCACAGGGCAGGCACTCTAACCGTTGAGCAACAGGTGCTCAATCCTGCTGCTTTTTCTTTGAACATCACTTGTCTTCTGCTATCAAACAGTTATTTATCATTGGACCTCCAGAGCTTTGGGGCCAGTCTATCCTGCGTGGTATTGATCTTTGGCTCATCATCCCATCTGCTGATGGCCATGGTGGAGGAATCATAAGGAATAAGCATGGTAACCTGTGCTGAAAGTTACACTGCAACCCCTAAAGTCCTAAGAGGGGCATTGTCCTTCCCCTTTTGGGGAGCCTGCAGAAGGAATGGCAGGGAGAGGACCAGAAAGAGGTGGGTCCATTGGAGTCAGCCCGCCCAAGCTGAGGGGAACAAAAGAGTTGCCTATAATTTTTCGCTTTCCACTTTCTCCTCAATCCACTGCAATGTGGCTTCTACCTCTGTAATGTCTTAGAAAAGATTATGTACAAGAGGTAAGGAAGTGGAGACAACTCTTTCAAGACATTGGGTTATGAATAGGTGGAGAAGTGATAGCTGGAGAGGAATATGGAGTACAAAGAAATTTTTTTGTTTTGTTTTGTTTTTTATTTTTTTGTTTTACTATACTAGCATGAACTTGAGCATGTTTACAGGCTGATGGAGGAAGCCAGTAAGGAAAGAAATTAAAGATGCTTGAGATTGTGGATATTCATAGCATGAAATTCCTGAAGGAGTGAAAGAGAATGGGACCCAGAAACATGGAGGTAGGAGCCTCCCAAAGGAAAGGGGAGAGATGACTCCCTGTAACAGGAGGGAAGGAGTTGAGGGTGGGTGTGTATGTAAATAGAAATGGAGGGGAAAGTGGGACATGAGGGAATTCAGAAAGTATCTCCTTGAAGCAGGAGTCCAGCTTGGCAGCTGAGTGGGGCAAGGACTCTGGTGGGAAGGAAATGTAAGATAGTTGTTGCAATTGGGAGGGAGGTACAGGAAGATGACCAGGCAGAGCTAAAATACCAGTTTAGACTGGTGACTACAAACTTGTAGTGTCATCAGTCAGGGTGTGTGAGCTCCAATAGTACCAGGAAAAGCACTGTTGCCTATTTCTTACTGGGGTTAAGACAGGCAAGAATGATAGAGAACTAGTGAGACTAGCAAGAGAGTGCATGTAGTGAAGGATCAAAGCATCCAAACTGAGGAGGGAAGTAAAAAGAGAAAAGGGACAGGGGTCAGTAGCCTGGAGGTTCTGGTGGAGATGAGGTGGGGTGAGTACTCTGGAAGGATGGGAACATTGTAGCTGTATTAGTTTCCTAGGGCTGCTGCAGCAAAGTACCACAGTCTGGGTGGTTTAGAACAGCAGAATTTAATGTCTCACAGTTCTAGAGGATAGAAATCTAAAATCCAGGTGTTGGCAGGGACATTCTCTGAAACCTGTAGGGGAAACCTTTCTTGCCTCTTCTTACTTTCTGGTGCTTTGCCAGCAGTCTTTGACATTCTGGGCTTATAGGTGCATCACCTCAATCCTCTTGTGTCTTCACACCATATTTGTATGTGTCTATATCTGCATCTAGATTTCTCCTTTTGAGTTTTTTGTTGCTGTTGTTTGTTTGTTTGTTTTGAGACAGAATCTCATTCTGTAGCCCTAGGGTTGAGCATCTAGGCATCATCATAGCTCACAGCAACCTCAAACTCTTGGGCTCAAGAGATATTCTTGCCTCAAGCTTCCCAAGTAGCTGGGATTATAGGCTTTTGCCACAACACCTACGTAATTTTTCTAATATTTTTGGTAGAGATCGTCTTGTTTTTGCTCAGCTGGCCTCCAACTCCTGAGTTTAAGCAATCTGTCCGTCCCAGAGTAGTAGGACTACAGGCATGAGCCACTGCACCCAGCCAATGTCTCCTTTTTGTAAGGACATCAGTTACATTGTGGATAAGAGCCACAATATAGAATGTTCTATTGGAGAACATTCTACTTAGTAAAGTATCACAAGAGTGGAAAGGCGAGTATCCAATGTACTCAATACTAATATGAGACCAGTAGATGAATAAATAACACACCTACACAAGAGAAAAACACAAACTCAAATGGAGGGAGAGGGGAGGAGGGAGAAGGATTGGTGTGCTCTCAACTAAAAGGCACAATGTAGGGGTACATGACACACCTCCTGGGTGAAGGGCACAACT